GCCAGCCAACCCTCGCCTGTACCATGAGTTTACCAGCCAGGAATCCATTGAGCTGGAGGGCAGGCACCGTGTCTTCCTCGCCGCTACTCTCGCTGCTTTCCCCGGGCTCAGCTCCGTTTCCTCCCCGCCCATTCTCGCTCCCCCGACCTGAGGCCTTCGCCCCGCCCAAGCCTACCTGCCAGCGGACCCTTGCTACGAACCTCCCTTATCTACCGCAAGGAGAACCGATACACGTGGCCGCCTCTTTTCCCTTCCGCGGCCACTTCCAGCCTGCCTTCTCACATGCTGGTCAAGCGCTTCCCGCCCGTCCTTCGCTTTGGGGATGCTTCGCTTGCTCTCTTCGGCGCGCTTTAGCCCTCACTTCTCATCTCTGCCTCCCCGGCTGAGCTCCGCCCTCGCTTCTCCCACCCGCCAACGATCATCCCAGGGGCTCCAGGCAGAGATTGAAGGAGGAGCGCACCTCGGAATCACCGAAAACTCGATGCCGGCTTCGCATGCGCACTTAGCCTCTTCGATCGGGAGACGTTCCAAAGGAGAGGTTCTAAGCCAATGAGGGGACGGAGAGGTTTTTGCGCTATGGCGGCTCCGCCAATCGTGGAGAAACGAGGCTAGGCTGCGTCTTGGGGCAAAAAGGCTCGCAAGGTTGCCCGACCTCGTTTGGGAACTGGGGCTGTGGTGCGTCTCGTTCTCCGAGGTCGAGGCCTCCCCTTCGGCTACGTGGAAAGGATAGGCGTGGCAGCTGGTCCCGGCTGTCATTTTGGCAGTCTCTCATCTTTCACAGATTGCTGCATCGCGCGTCTAATCCCTCAGGTCCAACTCGTGAGGCATCGGGGGAGGGGGTGGCAGGAGTAAGCTATGTATGCGCTCCTCATTGGGAGCATCTTCCTAGGTTTCGAAGGCGGAGTGACATTTTTTAAAAAAGGTTCCTAAACTGTTTCTGGAAAATTAAGAGGAGGGTAGTTAGCTTGGACGAAAAGATTGGTGGAGATCCACACCCGGTTTTCTCCACGTTACGGTTATACTTCGGCTTCTCTTACCTTATGTAAAAGCAGCTGTTTTTTGCCGCCACCTTTTTTATTGGAATTTGTCAAACAAAAACGAGAACAAGAATAAGAGAATAAAACTACAAGGGAAAAGGACGATAAGCACGTTAGTGCACTTATGTCATCCTCTCTATTGACCACTTAAATATGAAGTAAGGTCCACGGAAGTCAATTTGTGACTAAAATTGAAAATGTGTATCTGATTTCACCTATTTGTCCTAGAAAAATTATTGGACTACAGTTTCCTGCAATCTAAACCAGCTCAGGGTATTGCAGACACTGGGAGGGCATATCCAGTTTATGGAGACAGCATGCTACAAAATAGCATCCAAAAGATATTAAGACATCTGGTCTGAAAATGCTTCAGGTTGAGAAAAACCCTCATCGGGTTGAGAATTATTTTTAGGGGGCAATAAACAGCTTTATAGTCTTGAGTAGAGATTATGCGCTAAGAAGGAATTGACAGTGAATGGGTTCTTGCTCCTCTATGAACTTGGTTGCTTTCTGCAGATATGTCATTACCTGGGTAGGTAACCTCATTGCTGAGGAGTTCATTGACTGAGTTCAGAGAGCAGCAAAAACGTCAGAGTTTCTTCTGTCAGTGTTTATATGTAGCCCTTTGCCCTGCGAGTCTTAAAAATAGAATTTGATTTCCTTTCTGATTATTATCTGGTGCTGTTTCTTGCTTTTTTTTATTGTTGGCTCCTAGAGGGCATTGCCGTACATTGCCTGTATCCTAAGGAGGAGCAGATAGTTTGGAAAACAGCAATGGAAAAGGAACTGAACTCCTTACAAAAGTTAGAAGTGCATAAACGCAGACCCCTGCTGCGTTTATATTTTTGGATGCTGAGAAGGCCTTTGATCGAGTTAACAATAAAAAAAAGC